TATAATTAGAATTTTGCGTCTTCAATAAGGATTTCAATATTGGAATTTTACGAAGAACGCTGATTTTTATAGTTTACGGCTTACTGATACACTAGGACAATGTACGAAAGCTCTTTCACAGTATACATATTAAACTCAACATTTAATTAAACGAAAATAGAGGGTAATTTCAATACAAATATAAGTTGTCCTTGAAGAAAACCACAGCTACCCTACTCTAAACCCGAACTTAACATGTAAGTGCCACTAACACCTTACCTATGACAACTTGAAAAGTTTTCGTTTGTATTATAAATTCTGTACCTCTGTACAAAATGAGTCTAAATGTCCAAGTAAACCGTCAACTGTAGAAGTGCTTCTCGTAAAAGTCAACTATTAACGAGGATGGAAAATTGTTACTATTTTTAAAGTTTATCTTTTTGGTTTTGTTTGCCCTTTTTTAAAGAAAAAATGTGAATTCTTATTATTTTATTTGAATTTACCGTAAATAATTCCCTTTTTTAAAACGTATTGTACATTTTTGTTCTTTTCACACCAATGATGATGAAATTAACATTAAACATTAAAAAAAAATACATTTTAGAAAAAGGGATACAGCAAGAGTGATTTTGTATTAAATAGGCATTGAAGAATAAATGTACATAAAACCTGGATTAAGATCGATAAAAATGAATCTTTAACTTATAATTTAAAAAAATCATAGTTAGATAAATTTTAATTCAAGCAGTTTTTGGATTAATGTATTAATAGACTTGAATGGTAATAAAGCGAACCAGCTGTATGATAAACATGATGACAATATCTTTTCTATCATCAACGTCCCTTACTTATGAAGCAATATACCTTCATCGCCTGCATACAGAGTATATATTTCTCAGTTGATTCGATACTCAAGAAAGAACATGCTCAGCATATAAACAATTTCTAAAACCAGGTGAATTATTGACAAGCACGTTAATGAAACAAGAATATCACTACAGCAGTCTTGTTTAAAATCATCATTTCGTAAGTTTTATGGTCGATACAATGACCTTGTCAGCAAATACAATTTATCATTGAGTCAAATGCTGACGAACGTTTTTCATACTGATTGTTATTCCATTATTTATACATTAAATTGACGACGGATTTCCCCGTTATTTCCCGATCATGACAAAGAGCACACGACAGGTCAGCAGGTGATGCTCACTCCACCTAATCCAACCTTTGATGTTTTGGAGGTCTGTGTTTGCTCTTTTCCTATTAAATATTGTTTTATGGACTTTTGAACTTGAATACTGTTCGTTATCAGCATATCCTTCTTCATCATAAATGTAATTATAGGGTTTCGTTTAACACCTTAATTTTTGTCTTAAAACAATCCAGGACTTGGTACCACAATTCTCGGTCTCCAAACCACTGCTCTTATCGTTATTGCTCTGACGACAGCTGTCCTCCTGTACACCATTTGCTGTAATAAAGACGACGACGATGATGACGATGATGTGGGCTGCTGCACAAAATGTGGAGTTTGTTTGTTATGTCTATATCCTGTTGCAGGTACACATATTTTCATTGCGCAATTCTTTTTATTTTTTTTACAATTCATCGAGAACTGAAAAATATATCAAATTCTATTTTTGTATCAGGAAATAGAATTTCCTAGGAAAAATTCCGTTTTTTTTCACTTCCGTACTCCAGCTAATGTCTTTCATCTTCAATAAGCCGAGCAGTCAATTCAATATGTTAAAAAGTTATTGAAGACTTGTGAATATCAATAACTTTACAACTATATTAACTGTACCCTCTCTACACAAATGAAATACCACTAGTTAGGGAAGAAATACTCGGAAAACATTAAATATCTTGGCTTGAGTCGGTAGCTTAATTGAGTTTTCACATAAGCCATCTGTCGTCCGATGATCGATATCTAAATCATTTGATAGTTTGTTTATTTAAAAAGTCTAGATATCCATACATGTATCTGTTTGACTTGAGAGCTACATGTATGATGATTTTAACAATTAAATAAAAATGCATGTCAAAAACTGTTCATGAACTAAGAATAAATGCAACTATTGTTTAGCAATAGATGAATTACACACTTATAAATCAACTGATTTATTATTAATAATTTATTCAAGGACTTTCGTTAATACAGGAATCATTGGTTTTGCTGGATGTATGGTTGTTTTCGCAGATTATAAAGACTATGAGAAAGGCTGGGGACTTTACCTCTGTCTGGCAGCGTCATGTTACGTGATGCTTGAGGTTTGTCATCAAATACAAAAGAAAGCAAATTAATTCAATGTGTAATGAACATAAAGGATGGCTTTCGATACCTTATGGTACTATAATCTGGGGGGGGGGGGGGAGATTAGATAAGAAACATAAATTACAATTTGCTGTATGAATTTTGCTTTAATTATTATGATTTTGGTGTTGTTTTAGTTCAAAATGATTTTAACAGAAATGTTATGATGATTTTCAAATATTTCAAGACCATAATTTGCTGTTGTGCACTATGTGTGTATGCCAAGTCTGGAAAGGAAACAAATGAAGGTAGTGGGCAAGACAACAGTGGCTATGCTGGACAGGAAGTTGTCTCTTATGGCGGATCAGGAAGCAGTTACGACAACCGCGCGATAGCTAATCCAGGAGCAGAAGGAATAGTTTTGGGTCATGTACAGGAGCACCACCAATTAGAAATCAGCAGCAGCGGGAGTATAATGATTAGAACGCTGCAGATTGCGAGAGTTCTCCATATCAGATGAATGCTATTTCCAGTCAAATAATTTCAATATAAAATTGACTGTGTTTAAAAAATATTAGATATGTTAGAACCGTTATAGAAATATTAACCTTTTATGTACATATTTGAACATTCTGTTTTGGAATACCTTTAGTGCGAAGAACTCTTATTTAAAAAGGTTCACATTGTAACTGATAATCGAGTTAAACCCAGAGACCATAAACGGAGGAAAAAAATACCTTGCAATTTTATAATACATATTTTATTGAGAAAAAAAATGCAGGTTTGTTCAAATTCATACATTTGACGAAAAATTGATTAAGTCTGTTATCAAAATTATTTTCAAAGTTATATTGATTTTAAATTTTGACTTTATTAAATTTATTTATGTTTTACAAACATATTTTAATCTTGAAGTCAACTGGTTATTCTTAGTAAGAAAAAAGAGTCACGCTACGAATATGAAAATGCTTTTGAAATAAAAAAAACCTTTTGATTCTCATTGATGTGAGTTATAAATCCCTTGTTGACCATGAGTGTAAAATATTTATTTTCCTGTGAAAAAAGTGATTGTAAGTTTAAGGTTTCAACCTGCCACCATTATTTGAAAATTTAAACTAAAATATCAGCCTATTATCAGCCTAAAATCCGAAATTCCTGCCTCATGCAGTTGATATATCCTTGATAGAATTTTTAAAAGAAGTATTGACTTTTACAGTTGAAGGTTTAAATTGACATTTAAACTTGTTTTGACTTATTAATAGATAGAAAAACCTTTTTGGTAGTCATAGATATGCTGTTGGATTCGCTAACATGTGAAGGCCGGGAGTTTAGTTAAGGTTGCTTATCAGTCTTCAAGGGCAACATTTTAATTTTGTGCTTTATTCTAAAACCAGTTATTTTTGTTTTATGAAATGTTGAGATTAATGTGTTTATATAGTTAAAACTTTCCGTACATTGTCTTTGTCTGAAAGTACACCGCTACACTCGTGCAAAGGTAAAAAAAAACCATCATTTCTGAAATCTCACAAATAGAATCCAGAGAAAAGTCTAAGATTTATTTTATTTGCAATGTGCGACAATTTTTTTTTATTAAAACATGCAATAGTACAAATGAATTATTTTTTACCTTTTTATAAGATGATTATTTACATGTATTACATTGATGTATAATCGAAAAATAAACATAAGCTAAAGCATTGTTGTGCCTGTAGTCTTGGCTTGTCACTCGACATAAAACAGACAGCAGCAACGAAAGAAACAACAAGGCACCGATTGTACATTTATGTGTTTACATTGCTGATGAAACAGGAATATCAGCAGTCTCGTTTAAAGGTACTTAGACAGAGTTGAAGTAAATATTTTCGCTATAATATTACGAGTTACATATTTTTAATAGCCTTTCACACAAAAATTAATTAAAAATCTCATTTCATTTAAAAGTTATTAAAAATTCAAATATTTTGGCGGGTTTGATTGACACATCCTTGCACTTTCACAAATTTTAACCTTGTTCTTAATCAGGAAAAGTTGCATTCTTGTTGTGTATTGGTGAGAAATATTAAAACTTTTATTCAGAAAAATAATTTTATTCAGAGTAGAAATTTTAGAAGGCAAAACTCCTTCACAATTATCGTTATTCCGAACTAAGAGTTGCGTACAGAGTTTAGCAAATCGAGCACACTCGTTTTATTTATAGAGGTTGTGTTTTTGTTGATGTGAACAATTCACCGGGTGCGTTCAATCGTCACAGTCTGCTTACCACAACTGAAACAGACTGACAATATATTGTGTTTTTGTTTGGCTTTCGAACAAATTTACTCTGAATTTTCTGGATTATAGACTAAGTATTAATATTTTTCATTTATATACAACAAGATTGCCACTTTTCCTAAGGATTAAGAAAAAAATTAAATTTTTCAAAGAGCAAGGATGTGTCAATCAAACACGCCAAAAGAGAACAAGGTTCAAGTTTGCTTTATTTGGCCCTGTGAATTTCTGAAAAACTGATATTGTATAATTTTAGTTAACAATGCATTAAAATATCACTTCGATCGTTGGTGACTGCGATCACATAAAAATGACGTCATTTTCTGGCTAATAAATGCATTATGACGTCACAAATGCGTCAATTTCCTCATATTCTGAAGAAGTCTACAAAAACGACAATTTTTTAAAATTATTTTTTGAATATTTTATATAGAGCGCATCCTCTGATCTAAAATATGCAACTACTAACTGTTTCTGAGAATTCATGGACATGTTTTATTTTTTAGATCAGAGGGTGCGCTCATATTATTTTTCTAAAATTTCAAGAACATTGCAATTTCATAAAGCCATTTCTCCAAGACCTGGACTTTGAGCTACAGTTTTTTTTAATAGGATATGAAAGCACCAAGTCTCTATTTTATTTTATTGCTTTAAATAGAATGTCAAGTGTTGATCAATTAATTGGTATATCAACAGGGCCATTTTATGCATAAAGTGAACCGACCTCTTTCTAAAATTGAAAATCTTTTATATGAAATAAGATTTTTAATCAAATTTTTGTGTGAAATGCCATTAAAATACAAGTCGTAATATTATATAGAAAATATTAACTTCAAATATGTGTCTAAGGAACATTTAAAGCTACCATTTCGTAAGTTCTATGGTCAATAGAATACGACCTTTTCAGCAAATTCAATTTATCATTGACTCAAATGCTGAAGGACTTCTATCAGACGAATTATTAGTCCATTATTTATACACTGAATTGACGACAGGTTTTTTCCCGTTATTTCTTTATCATGACAACGAGCATTCAGCGGGTGTGACCGGTCGGCAGGGGATGCTCACTCCTACATGGCACCTGATCACAAATCTGATGTTTCGGAGGTCCATGTTTCCTCTGCTCTTATTTTGTATATTGTTTAATGGACTTTGAGATTGAATTCTGTTCGTTATTTCCATATCCTCCTTCTAGATCTTTGGTAACCTTATAATTTTCTATTCATGAAAAATACTTATCAAATTATTGAGCCAGAGAGAGAGAGAGAGAGAGAGAGAGAGAGAGAGAGAGAGAGAGAGAGAGAGAGGGGGAGAGAGAGAGAGAGAGAGAGAGAGAGAGAGAGAGATATTTTAAATCACACGCTTTTGTTGGAGAAATCATTTTTTTTCCTGCTGTAAAGTATTATATTTTCAACTGACTGTTAAATGTTGGGCTTCTGAAGAAATACTTTTAAATCCAACAAATATGTAAGGAACAGAAATAGAGATACACATCCCTATTTGTTTTCCTAAAAGAAGATGTGTTTGTGAAACATTGATGCCCCCGTATGGCAACAATCGAAGATTAAGCTTTCTCAGTTACAGATCAAATATGCTGGTACCTAAAGTTAAAGGGAGGACAAACTGCCGGGGTCAAGATCGATGGGTCAAAGTTGTTGGTTTCTAAAAAAGATTTTTTCTCACAAATAACATAAAGGAAGTATTAAAGCGCTGACACTTACCATTCAATAGTCATTGCCGGGGTCAAAGTGTGTAAAAACTCCAAGGTCAATGCCAAAGGGTCAAAGTTGTTGGTATTCAATGAAGGTATTATCACATTCAGAACATAATTGAAGTACTAAAGCTCTTACCCTTGCTGTTAAAAGGTTATGGTAAGGAAGGATATGGAAATAACGAACAGCACGGACTCCCCAACGTCCACCAAACAAACATACAAAACGAAGGTTCAAGTTTGTAAAAGGTAGGTCAATTTCCATGGTTAAGGTCAAATGGTCGAAGTTGTTGATATCCAATGAAAGGCATTGTCACAGAGGTTACATATGTAGAGTATGAAAGAACTATCCCTTACCGTTTAAATGTTATGAACAAGGTTAAACTTTTCTAGTAAGTATGGAAATCCCCAAAGTCAAAGTTAAAAGGTCAAAATTGCTTGTTTTAAATAAAAGGCTTTAACCCCAAAAAGAATATTCAATTATGAAATTTCTAGTACCTACCGTTCAAAAATTTGGGCCTATAGAAAAAGTTAGGATTTCAAATGTAAAATTCAGTCAAACTACAAAGTCAACGTCAAAGGATCAACGATATAGTTTTCGAATATCCCCTCTTATACTGCTGTATTCCAAAGGGAGAAGGTAATATTTCTGGTGCAATGAAATATAAGAAGATAACAGAATTCAACATATGCAAGTGTTTCGAAGTTTATTTGCAAATTTCAATGAATTGTAAGAAAAGATGTGCCCATTTTTTTATAATCTTTATGACCCAGTTATAAAAACGTACATGTGCAGTGTAATCATGAGCCATAATATACATGATAACACAGGGTGACACAAATACTTCAATTTCTTATTATCACAAACCAAAAGTAAAAAATCCCGAGGGTGGGAAAATCACCGTCAACTGTACTATCAATCCTTACATACGACATCATCATGTGTTCTGAATCTGCAGCATTTTATTTTTGTCTAACTTGTCTGTTGATACCAAGTCATTTATTACAGGCGACAGGTTTTTTCTTTCCATATTGGATCAAACATAATTCAACATCAGACTGCTTCAGGGGAATCGCTTTCAATACAGCGAATTGTAATGGCACGATAGAAGGTAAATATTCACGACGTAGTTTATGCGTGTTACTTATAAATCTTACCTGCTGATATTCTTTTTCGTGGTTAAAAAATCATTTGACATAAAAATTACTCCTTGTAACAGAATAGATAAAGAAAATAATTTTCCTTCCTGCAAGTATAATCTATATCTTTCTAAAACGATAACGTCTCCATACGAGTGAAAAATTCTCGAAAGGGACGTTAAACAATATACGATCAATCAATTTAAAATGATAAGACTTTTGACGATAATTAATTATGGTGTTAAGACTCCCAATGCATGCCAAATTCATCATAATATTTGCAAACATATTGGAAACAATCCAAAACTAAATTAGGCTAAAATGTAATAAATGTAAGAATAGACAGAAGACCCACTGAGAACGGTTGCTATACAGGAATAGTACTGAATAAGAGCTTATTGAATGTAGACAAATCAGAAATGCATTTTCATTATCATGCTATTTCTTCAGCGCCTGATCTTCCTTAATTGTTAGTTAATTGTTATATGTTGTACTCAAATACAGTATATATCAATTGTATTTACATATATTCTTGTACGTTCGAAACAGTGTTTAAGAAAAAAATTCAACCAAGCCTCTTGCGTTACTGCTCACTAAGATATTGACAGTAGTGAAAGAAAAA